CCCCCCCCCCTGCTTGCTTTAACTACCCAACAATGGCGGGAAATGAGATATCAGCCACTTAACAGCACATATTTCACCAAGCAGTGTCTCGAGGACGTTCCTGACTCATCCCTATTGCTATGTGTGCTCTTTCTCATGTTCTGGGAAATACCTCTTGGCTTGCATCCTTCTCCCTGTCGATGGCGTACGTGTACCTGCCGCACCCACCTGAAGGTTTATGTCGGCCTCATAGAAGGTCAGGCAGGAGCAGTAGTGGCGGTCGGAGTCGCTGTCGGTCAGCACCGTGGTGAAGAAGGAGGGCTGCTGCCTCTCACGGGAGAGCCTCCAACCACTGGGCTGGCAGAACTGGAACCAGAGAGACAGAGAGGCGTCAGTGAGGGTGCGCAGAACACCTGTTTTTGCGTGGGGCCCCCAAGGTTTGGGGCCCCCTGTTGGCCACAAGCAGTCACTACACTGAATATTAAATGCAGACATTCCTTGTTTAGGAGATGCTGAAGCAGCATGTTCTGCTAAGCAGCTAGCTAGCTATGATCTTCTGACTCTACTCAATGGCTATTTATTTAGTTTTTTAAACATCTGGGGGGCGGGGGGGGGAAAACTGAGTTTTTGAGAGGGGTCCTAGAAACAACATACGTGCCCTGGTCCACGCACACGGATATGGGTTTATAGCCTGTGCTGTACTGCTGAACATCATCTATGCCTGTTAACGGCACAATAAAACATCCAGCTGTATAAATGGGTCAAGCAAAAAGTTGATGAGTGAAGGACAAAACAACGAAAGGAATGCAGCACAGTGACACGGCACTTTAAGGAACGAATCAAATGACCTGGCAGGAGCAAATGGCGTGTGACATCTGCGAGCGCGGCACACCGCCTGCGAATGTGACATCAGGAATCTGCACAGTGAATTCTGGGAAACAAAGGGTTCGACCGGGAGGACGGCGCAGCCAGAGCACATGTTACCCTTCCGCATTTCGACTTCCTCCCGGGGACTCCGGAATGCCACCCTCTGACGCAGAGCTCTGTGGCACTTGCCATAAAGACAAAACAAAGTTTTACGACATTCTGGGAACTGGACAAAAAGAAAAACAAAACCATCCGCCGTGTGCAATTAACCGGACAATCCCTGAGGGGCCTTCAAATGGACGCCCCTTGTCCTCTGACAAAGAAGGTTAAGAGATGGAAGGTTACTCACCACATCATTCTGGTAAAAACTTTCAGACAGTCACTGACAGTCTGTACATCACTGTGCATCATCTCACATGCCTAAAAAGGACCCCTGCTCTACACCAGCAGTCCACTTCAGTATATTTCAGTCTCACGTTTTCATACTTCTATACTGTTAGTTTCATATTTAAAAGAGAGATGCACGATCAGTTTACATATCGGTATCAGGCCTTCTTCATTCAAAATCAAGACATCAGCATAGGCCCAATGTGTAGGTCGTGATCGATATTGCCGGCTGATATTTAGAGTTTAGTTAATGGGGTCCTATTATCCTTTTCTGGTTTTTCCCTTCCCTTCGGTGTGTTATATGGCCTTATGTGCACGTAAAGCCTGCAAAGCCTTAAGACCCAAAGTACATGCCACAGGGAGTAACACTCACTTCTAAGCTGCCTAAAAAGCCTCATTCGATTTCCGGCCCTTTTTTCCATGACATGGTGAGGTCACCTCGTAACACAGATATCAGCAGGCTAAATTAAGCCCTGAGCCAATGGGAGCGAATGGGAGGAGCCTCATTCCTTCTGCCGCCTACCCACAAGGATCTGTCTGCAGACTGCATGAAAGGGGTGGAACGTGTAGAGCAGGGTTATGCAAATCACGGTCCTCGAGATCCGAGCCCTGCTGGTTTTCCAGCCTTCCTTTACCTGTGAGCTGGGTGTGAAAAGCCTCTGACCAATCAGAATCAGTAATTATTAAACTAACTACCTGGGAGAACTGAAAACAAGGCCTGGATATGGAATCGAGGTCCAGATTTGAAGAGCCCTGATGTAGACCAATCAGAACACACTGGGCTCATCGGGAGTGGGACTTAAAGCTTTAACAAACAGTTTGAAAGTTATAGACAGAGTGAATAGAGATGTACACCCCACAAATAACATTATCAACAGTGAAAGCATAATAGGATCCCTTCGATATTCAAAGTTAACAGCACTAGACCTAAAGACATAAATACTAAAATAATGCAAAAGTCTGCAATGGATGATCAGCCATTTTCCGTAATGGAGGATGAGGGATTCTGTCACCTCGTTCACCACTTAGAACCTTCCTACAGGCTCCCAGGTCAACACTGTCTCACTGGCGTCTCACTGCCTGCAGTGTATGATGTGGGAGCTAAACACAATCACAGTAACATCACTGACTTCAGTTTCACTGCAGAACCACAGAGCTCAGAGGTTGGCCAGTTATCGGTATTAGTAATATCAGATGAAAATATATTCGTTTTCTGTATCAGCCAGAATTTCAGTGCATCCCTATTCTAACTATAGTGGATCTGTTGGTTCTGTTTGCTTTTATGTGCTCTTCCTCCCATTGTCTTCCTCAAACCACGCAGCTGATCTGCTGGTGTCAAGCACAACACTGAATGACTAAAACCGGGTGCCTTACAACTCGGCTGCTCTTACAACGTGAGCAGCGCCCAGGAGGAATGAGGCTCCTCCCACTGGTTCCCATTGGCTCAGGGCTCAATTTAGCCCGCCGGCATCTGTAAATTTGTTTCTGTGAAACCCGGATCCTGCCGGTCTGATGGAGTGTCTTTGACCCGTGTTGTGTATGTTGGTTAGCAAAGGCAGGAGATGATGCACCTACAGTCACCCATCAGGAATGCCAGAGTTTACTCCTTGTGATGTTTTTTAGGCTGAAGAAAGAGACCAAGAGACCGAGCGAGACAGGAAAGCACATTAGGACCACAAGCTGGAGTGGCGTGCGGCCCAGCAGGTCCGGTCTTCGCGTCTATGATCGGAAGGCTGCTGGAGTCCTAAGTAGAATAGTCACATCTAAGTCCCTTAAGCCTCTAAAACACTCCAGGGATGCCTGTATTCCCACCCCAAGCTTCAATCTCATCTGTGTGTATGTGTGTGTCTCAAAGGAGAGCATGATGGGAAATCGGAGGCATTCCACTGTAACTGCGCTACCATGCGAAAAATAGCTATCAATTACTCTGGAAAGACAGTGAAAGCCAGGACAGCAGCTCCCCACTTGGATCATGATCAACCAGGCTGAAGGTCTTTGGGCAGGTCTGGATAGCCAAGCCTCATGGCTGAGCAACTATGATTCTAGAGAGAAGAATGTCTCAATGAAGGCCTGTGTGCAGCACAAGCAGGTCCGGCAGGACACAAGCAGGTGTTCGGCAAGTCAAGAATCGCACAGGTGTCTTTGACGACGTAGTTCCAAAATGAGCCAATAAAGCAGATTCATGCCCAGACAAGTCTCTCTAAGTGTGATATTTCCTGGGGGGGGCAGACTAGCAAGGTAATGAAGTACACTTGGCATGGTGCACCAGACACAGGAGAGCTTTGATGAACAGGCTTACCCAGGCTAAAGCACTATGGACAAACCTTGTTTGATACAACTTTTACCACCCTCACCCCCATTTGCTGCACGACAATGACACCATCATAGAGTTTAACAGCTCAAACAGCCCAGGGGCCTCCGACCATTTTAATGTGCCTCTGCATGAACATCTGGAACCAGCAAACTAGCACGCTGTGTCCAGAAGAGGGTGGGTTTAGCAAGACTGATCCAATCAGAACCAGATTGAGACAGGTGGGGTTTTTAAAACCGGGAGCCTGACCCCTGACCCCCAAGCCTGACCCGCCAGGTCCACGCCGCTCCAGGTGTGACCCATTTTGTGCTTACTCAGGCCCTGACCAGCAGAACAACACTGCACATGCCAGCACAGATGAAAGGTCAGGAAACACTGAGGGAAAGACCGTGAACAGTTTGCGTCATCTTGTAGAAATGGCACGCTTGTAGAAATGGGTTTTTTATAAAAAATGATGATGCGTACTTCGGGGGAATCCATCCTAATTACACTGGGATATCCGGATAAACGATCAGGAGTCCTAAGCCATCATTGACCTTGGTGACAGCTGAGAGTCACACCTCCAAACCAAGGAGAGGTCATCAATCCAGGGCAAAAACTGACTGTCTGCTGAAGAACAAGATGCTGCTTCAGAACCGATGGCGAACGGCATGCGCACAGCACATGGGGGGGGGCACACGGGCCATCCGGATCGAAGGAAAGTCCGGGGAATATCCGTGGAATGCTGTTCATGATTATGCACAATCCACAAGGCGACTGGAACTGCAGAGGCTTACTAAATACCAGTCACGGACAGGAAGTGGGAATGGAATGCGTTTACAAGGCAAAGAAATAAATTGTGAAAACGTGAAAGGAAATACGATGGGAGTAGGGGGGCATTCAATTAATCAGAGGTAAACAGCGATGAGCAGACATGTAATCGTGATGGGGGGGGGGGGGGAATTTCCCACAATACTCACAAAACCTCCCAAAAACCTATTCCCACTCATCACAAAAGCATTTAGCACAGCCCAGAGGCCCGAAACCAGTCCCAAAGTCATTCACCCCCTTCCCCACCCCTCAGTACACCAGAGATCCTGACAGGACAAAATAACTATTTATGGATTATCCATGTTGACAAGAGCCTATCTACCTTCAGGAGACAGAGAAGCTCCTCACCAACAGGCCTTGCTGTTTACCAAGCCCCGCACACGAGCCGCGATATTTGGTTCAGCATAACAGCATAATTACAGGTAACAGAAGGATCGTCTGACATGGGCCTAAAACATCGCCGTTGTAACAGACAGGCCCGATAAAAGTGTGAGAACAACACAGCCGTCTGTGCACTGTGCTCTGAAGACTCTGGCTCCAGCCTCCTTCCAGTCCTCATCCCAATCTACATCGGCCCTTTCCCATGTTACCACATCAGCAGCACCATCATAATGGGGGGGGGGGGTGCCATGGCTCAGCGTACTCCAGGCGACCCCTAAAACTGTAATTCATTCGGGAAATACTTTATAGGGGGAAAGCACCAATATCGATGTCCCAATAAGACATCTGAGAGTGTTGGATGGTGAGCTGGTCCGGAAGAGACTGTGATTCAGAGGAGAGGCATGCAGGGGAGGACAACTCAAAGCCCCCCCCCCACCACCCAGGACCATCAGTCATGCTGGGGAGCCGAAGAGATGGAAGCCAGCCAATCAGGGCGGCCGAACCCCCCCCCAAGATTGGCGGGAGCTGGCACATACCGACCATAAAGAGGAAGGGAGCTGGGGGTCTATTCTGGGACTGGGGGGGGGGGACGACCACTGATGCGATGTTG